GGCAAACATCTTTTTCACCATCTCTTCATTTGGATAGACCTTCCTAAAGTTGTTCAAGTCATTGATGATCGTGGTAAATTGATCAAACATTGTCTTGATGTCTTCATCGGGCTTCATCTTGAAGTTCTCATAGTTGAGAGTGAGAATGTCAATCTTTGACTTCTTCACTTGGCTTTTTCCTTCGTGGGTCACCTTCAATTTGTCCCAAATCTCCTCAGCATTAGAGCATGAAGATACTCTACTATACTTGTCCGGGCGAAGAGCACAAAAAATTATGTGCATGGCTTTGGCATTGAGTTGGGCAAGCTTCCTATCTTCATTTTTCCACTCCTTTAGATATCTTGAAAGCACGAGAGAATCGTCAATGATGGCATCCCAAACCGCAAGGCGATGAATTGGATGAACAACATTATTCTATTTTTCCAATAGGAATTAATTTGCTCCATTGAAGTAGGGTGGTCTATGGATGGAGTGAGAATCTTCAACATTGTGGGAGCCGGAAGTTGAAGTCATCTTTATTGGTTGATTGAATAAGTTGATAGAGCTCTCCTAGGACCTTTTCAAGGTTGTTAAACCATTAATATAAACCCTCTCTAGTACCAATTGTTCAGCTTGTACGAACAACCGAAAATGCTAATATGGGGTGAATTGGCCTTTTAAAAACTTTGGTGGAAGCAATCAAAAAATAAAACTTTTTGCACAATGATTTAGATTGGTTCGACTTGGACTTCTAAACCAAGTCTACATCCACTACCCTAGCATCTACACTAAGGATTTCTCAAATCCACTAGATTTACTTACCTTTAAGGACAAGTTGTAACCTTCCAACAACTCACATGGTTTATACCCAAAACCTTGTTTATACTTTTTCATAAGAGAAATTACAAATAAAGCAAACAAAGAGAAAACCTCATAAGCCAAATGTGTTTGCACTAATTAAGATCTCACTCAAATCACACTTGTGCAAAATAGACAATGAAGCTCACAAGTGTGTTTACAAAAAAAGGATTTTACAAATTAAGCACAAAACAAAGCTTTGATATTAGTAGGTTGGTTCAATATGATTTTTGTTGACCTTGGGAAACATTGACCTTCAATTTATACATTCTCCATTAATTCTAGTCGTTTGGAGCCGTTGGGGATCATTATAGCCGTTACCTACAACCAAAAACAACATTTAATGGATAAGGGATCGATTCTTTGGTGAAAGGGATTGATCATTTTTCAAAAAATTCGATCGTTGTAACAAGAGGATCGATCCTTTTTGGTGAAGGGATAGATCCTTTTTGTAAAGGGATCGATCTCAAACTCACTAGAATCCAAGGGATCGATCCTTTGGTCAAAGGGATTGATCCTTTGAGCCAAATTTGAGCCAAAAATCCTTGGAAACTTAAATTTGAAGCGCAAAAATGATCGAGTACGATTTTGAAAAGGTTCGACTAAGTTGGAAAACATTTAAAACATATTTTTCAAGTTAATTTGGACTTCGGATTATTTTTGATAAATTCGATTAAGTCCAAAATCAATTTTACAAGTTATTGTTATATCAAAATCTTAATTCAACATGAATTGCTTTTCAGTTCTTTTGAATGGTTCTTATTAAGGCATTAGTTTTAAATTGTGTTAAGTAATAATTATAGTACTTGCAAAAATTTTATTTAGTCTTTGGTTCTAAGAGTTCTGATATTCAGTTTTGTATTATTGCAGGCAAAGAAACCATTTCAAAGAGTGAACGTGGAAGAGGTAGTATTTGTTGATAGCAGGCTTGAAGATAATTCATACAGGGCAAAGGTATGAATACTTGCACCACTTCTTGTTTCCTTTACCTTATGTTTGTATTGAAAGATTAAAGGAAAGGAAAGGAGAAGAGAGGTTCTTAAAGGAAAGGAAAGAGGAGGAAATGATATGTTATTCCTTGTTTGGATAGCTAAAATGGGTAGGAGTAAGGAAATAAAACATTTATTTGTTTATATAGTGGGGAGGAATAGTATTTTATATTTACAATGCTTCATAGCGTTTCTAAAATAAAAGATCATATTTATCATATTTAATAATATAAATAATTTTTAGATTCTGAAAGTGAAAGAGAAAAATGTTTTCAATTAAAACTAGTTCTAATTATATATGATTAATTCATAAAAGAATGCATGCTTGAAATTAATTTCACACACAAATACTTGGGATATGCTTCCTCTTAAAGCACTTGCCATATGCTTCCTCTTAAAGAGTGATGAAGCCTCGGTTTGTATTGTTTTCTACAGCACATTTGCTATTCTGTGCTACTAATTTCCAAATAACTCAAACTTTTGTTTAATATATAATGTGATATATGAAGTTTATATTATTGTTAACGCAGCATCATTTACGACTCTTTATTGTACGAGCAAATACTTATATTCATCCAATATAAAGATAAATGTGTGCTTATTTGTTTTTAAATTTATACAATTCAATTATAATTAAAGTTTAATATGTTCTATTGAACTATAATTGAAGTTTTAATGAAGGGTTAAACGATTCATTATTTTATAACAACAATTTTAGGCCTCGGCTTGGCAGCATTCAATAATTCATTACACAAAATATAATATAAAATTGAGCAACAAACATTTGGTTGACCGATGATGTAATTTTCTCCCCATGAAAATTAAGCAGTTTGTCCATTGAAGCCATCAGGGTTAACATCCCTATCTTCTTGCTCGTCCACCCTCCGAGGAGATTGTTTCCCTGTTCTCACCTTCCCTTTTTCTAGATTCAGGTACGTGTAATATGTCATTCCGGCAATCGCTACGAAGGCTCCGCAGATACTGGTCGTGCCCGGATTCGACCGGAAGATGTAATAATTCCCCAGAAGCAGCATGCATGTTTTAAACTGCCCAAGAACCACATGGGAGATGGCTGACGTTGCCCTGAAATCAAACTTTACCATTTATATAAATACATAACACTCGTCGGTAATGTCACCAATATGAATCTTACCCGAGTGCCAACGCCGCTGACCACTGAAGCAAGAAGCCGAAGACACCGGATATTAAAATCATGGATGTGTTGATGAAGTTCCAGTTGTAGGAGAAGGCTCCTGGAGGATCCAAAATCGGAATCATAATAAGCAGACAGAACAACGATATCGGTGTCGTCTTCCACATCAACCTGCAGTTTGTTTTATGATTTTCATTACACAGACTTAGCTAGAGCTATGTATGTACGTATGTATTAGTACGAGAGTCGAGCAATTAGCATACGCCAAGGCAGTCCAATTCTCCCGTTGTTGCAGACTGGACCAGAGAATCTTGCTTAAAGCACTCGGAATAATCCAAAACAATGCAACGCTTGCACCGAACAGGTTGAACTGCAGATCGGTCACCGTGGCAACCGCAACACCGATCGATACAACCACAAGAGAGACCACCTTGAGGAAAGAAACTTTCTTTTTATACCATAGATATTCTGCCATAACGATTGTCGGCGTAACGGCGATCTTCGCCATCTGATAAAACCCGACGCTGCGTATAACAAAGAACAGCATTTATTCGATACCTTAGTGATAGTATCTAGCTTAGTAGTAGTATATATTCCACCTGTTGTACTTCAAGCTGACATTAGCAAGCCCGGTGCAGAGAGACATCACCAGTCCGAGAGTAAACAAAGGCGTCGACTTTAACGGCGGAGACGGTGGAATCAAAGACAATGCATTCAGGACGACGATCAGTGCCAAAGTTACTACGTAATGAATAAAACTGAGCAGCACAGGGAACTGGAATCCGGCATTCTTCAGCACCTGCAGGAAGATCAAAGCAAACTCCTGCACTCGTGTACATATCGAAGCTGTCGAGAACTAAAAGAGTTAGAATACAAACCCATTTGTTCATGAAAATGATGGCAATAGCAACAAAGAAATTGAACGTTAGCGCAATGCTCGGAGTGCAGAGGCGTTGCTGCAGATTCTTAGCCTTCTCCGACGTGGCGAAACTGTTGAACATCGACGCTCTCAACTCTTCCAGAGTTCTTCCTGCGTAAACGTTACCGGAATCAACGAATAGTTCATCGAACGCTCTATTCATTACACTGCTAGTAATAATGATCGACGAACATGCATACCTGTTTCACTAGCATCACTCCCTTTGCGCTTTAGCAGTCTCCTAAGATCTTTGCTTAACAAAAAATTCACAATCTCCTGCCTTGACAACATCGTTCTCCTCTATAGTTGTCTAGAATTTAGGGTTTTCTTCTCTGCATTCTAAAATGAAACTATATATAAATCCAGTAATGGAAAGCGATTTACAGCAAATTAAGAAGAAGATAAACGTGAACAGAATTGGAAAGGAAGAAAGAAAGCAGTATTCTCCTTGTAAAGTAAGATGGAATTGTCTAGCCATAATGGCTTACTTAGATGTCACACATTCTCGTGGAAGAAATGTGTTCTTTCTCTTGCTTTTGCATTCAAATCTGTCCTTGTCAAGTTCTTTGCACTGCTGATGCTCGGCTTGAAAATACAAATTCGAAAGAGTAAATTTTGATTTATTTGTAAATTGTGAAAATAATAGACTATGCAATTTATAATTAATATTATTAATGCATATTTATATAATAATAATATTAGAATAGTATTGATTAATGTTTTTAATTGTTGATCAGGATTTAAGTATTTTGAAAGGTTTTTCAACGAATTTAAATTAATCAAAAGAAAGATAAAATAAATAGTTTAATGATTTTTTCGGTCAGAAAGTTATTAAAGGAAAAAATGACGATGAAAGAAGCAATATGAGTTTTAATTTGAAAAGAAGAAGATAAGTTAGGGTTTTTCATGTGCCACACCAGCTAACAACAATAATAGTAATGAAAATGAATTAAAAAATTTATAACTGCAATGCAAGTTCTAAACCTTTAGTGTTCGAAGTGAAAGTTTTCTAAATATTGAATGACCATCAGTGTAGTTTTCTGAAAACAAAATGAAACAAAAAGCGCATCTTTTCTCTGATCAAACCCAAGGGAGGCGTAGTGATCGAAACTCAGATCGGGAGGAAATGTCTCAAAAAACAAAAATGGCTCCGAAACCAGATCCCCAATCTGCCAGCATTGTCTCCGCCGTCGACGCCACCGCTCTATTCTCAATGGACCCATTTTTCCACATCCTGAAAATCGTCCCCTACTCTTTCCTTCGCCCACCGCGCCTCCGCCTCAAGCTGCCCTCCTTCTCCCTCCCTTCCGCCATGACCGTCTTTTCTCTCATCCTCCTCACCTACTTTCTGGTGGTCTCTGGCTTCATCTATGACGTCATCGTGGAGCCCCCCGGCATTGGCTCTACCCAAGACCCTGTCACTGGCGCCGTCCGACCTGTCGTCTTCCTTCCGGGCCGAGTCAACGGTCAGTACATCATCGAAGGGCTATCCTCCGGTTTCATGTTTGTGCTCGGTGGCATTGGGATTGTGCTCTTGGATCTTGCCCTTGATAAAAACAGGGCTAGGAGTATCAAGGTTTCGTATTCAATTGCGGGGATCTTCTCCATTGTTATCGCCTATGTGATGACTTTGCTCTTTGTTCGCATCAAGATCCCTGGTTATCTTAGGTGAAAATTTTACTTTATTAGCTACTACTTAAGTTTTCAATTTAGTTGAACAATTTTGAATAAAAATGGCGTTCTCTTAACCTTGCTTTCTTTGGGTGTTTTCTTTTGAAGAACCTGAATTATGCGTGTAAAATTTTGCCTTATGATTGATAATTGGACATGTTTTAGGATGGATTAACAAGTTGAACATGATGCATTTGTTGATCGATTTTTATATTCGTAAATCTTGAGTGTTCTTCAAATTTCATTTTATGATTACAGTGAATAGGTTCTATCTGGGCAAAGAGGTTTTCCAAAACAAACTGGCCGTGTTAACCAAAAATTAAGTGAAGGGATTCTGAGTCTCTATTTAGAAAGTTATTAGGGAAAATGATCCAATCTAGTGAATGATTCACAGAATTTTATGTCGTGCAAACTTACGAAGTTATATTAGAAATCTAGGGGGTGTGAAATTGCAAATTTTCATGTGGTGTGAAATTGCAAATTTTCATGTGGTGCGAAATTAGATCATCAATAGAAAATACAAATAAAATATGCAAATTATGTGGGAATTTAAAATTTCCAGGGGTGTGACTGCCCACCCCCCTCTGTTTATCCTTGGATGGTTGGGACATTTTGCCCATGATGAGGATCTTCTGCTTGGGTATTTCTTATGTATGTTGTTGCCTGCAAAATATGCTAATATTCATCTTCTAGTTTATGTTTGAGTTCATTTGTTACATTGGTCAATTCTAGCTTAAACTTTAAAGACTCAAACCTTGCTAGTATTTCAGATTAAAATGTGTTCAGTGAAGCATTTAGACCTGTCCTGCTTTTTTATGGTTTATTTAGTAATGTTGATAACATTATAACTTCTGAGTCTAACCCCATATCTTAGTTTTTGCTTATGCAAATATCACTTTCATGATTTTGAGTGATGATAATTGAATCAAACGAAGAAACCTACTAGAGTTGATGCTGAAGAAGTGCTTCTTTGTTTAACTATATTTACAAGGATGAATGATTGTAGTTCATAATCAAGAAGTGAAAGAACTCATTCCTTCAAATGATAATTTGACTATATTTTGTCTCTTACATGGCGCTTAACTTTTGCGAATGTTTTGAACGCATTATGGTATTGTCGATGTGTTCACTCATGCAGCTTTATTGACAATGTTGCCTTACCTGTCATGGTTTTTCGTAACATGTTTGCTTTGATGCTTTCTCTTGTTAGTATGAAATGAGAAAAAATAAGTCTCCACCTAGTTTCCCCTAAAAATTTCAAATTATCATATATTTTAGATTTTTTTCTTTGTATTTTCTATTGATAATTTGTTTTCATCCCCTAGAATTTTATAAGTTTGCCCCTCTTAAAAATTTTAGATATTCGGCTCATGTCATAAAATCCTGCGACGTCCGTGTTTATAAGTAGATGAAATGATACCATAGTTGTATAGAGAGCTCTTGTATTCATAGAATGATCATGGAATCCGAAGAGGACAATCTCGATTAAACTAAGTTAGTGACAATACCAGCTGTTTTGGTATTGCTTGTTCTCTGTGTCCCTTTCATAATTAGACCAAGTTAGCTGTCAAATAGGAAATTCTGTATGTGCAGAACCATGCCCACCTTGGACATGGTAACCATTTAAGTTCATTAGGTTAAGTTTTGGGTGATTTACATTCTAACCACTAAACTGAATTTTCGATTTGTCTTTAATTTGAATTGAGATTAAAATTTCAAAACATTTTATAGTAGAAATACTAGAAATGATGAAAACGAACAAAATCCATAAATTAACATTAGATAATTTCAAGAAAATTTGGAAATAATCCATGCAATTTTTTTTAAATATAGGTGTTTGAACAAAAATGGTGGGGAGTTTGCCTCTTCTTCTTCGATTGTTTCATTCTGGAATGTTAGGGGTTTTAATGCTCCTCATAAGCAGCAAAGAGTTATTAGTAGGCTTAATAAATTGCAGGTGGATGTTATGTGTCTTTTTGAGACTCGTGTGAATGAGGATAAGGCTCTAGTTATTTTTGCTAAGAATTTTTGTGATTGAGAGGTTTCTACTAATTATAGTTGTGTTGGGAATGGTCGTATATGGGTTCTTTGGAGGTATTTTTTATAGTTTTCGGTTTGTCATGTGAGGGATCAATTGATTTCCATTCAAGGTTATAATGGGAAAGGTTTATTATTATTGCAGTCTATGACAGTAACAATGGAGTTGTGAGGAGGGCTCTTTGGCAACAATTACTGGATGTTGTTGATTCGATTGGTTCTATCCCGTGGGTGATTGGGGGGACTTTAATGTCTCTTTGTGCCCTTTTGAGAGTTCTGGTGCGTTTGTTGGTAGGGGTGAGCGTTCGATCGAGTCGAGTAAAAAAAATTCGAGTTATTCTTGTTGACGAGTCGCATTTTACAACTCGGAGTTGTCTTGAAATTTTTTTCGAGTCGAGTTTATTCAATTCAAGTCAATTTTTGAGTTTCTATTTAAATTTAATTGTGAATATTTATAATATTATTTGGTTCCAATTTAAGTGAATTTTTATAGCCATTGATTACTAAAAATTTTGAGTTATTCGATTTGCATTTTATAACTCGATTTGAACTTGTAAATTTTTCGAGTCGAGTTTATGAAATTGTAATTTGAAGTCAATTCGAGTCGAATCGAGAAAAAAAAATCAGTTTTTCGAGTCGAGTTTTGTTCACCACTATCTGTCAGTGGTATTCCTTTTTCAAAAATTAGGGACCTAAGGGATTGTTTCGAGAGTTAGACTTTGGTGGATCACCATTTCTTTGGTCCCTTGTTTACTTGGTTGAATCACCAAGATGAAGGTTTCCTGACTAGGAAACTTGATAGAGTTTTGATGAATGCCTCTTGGTCCTGTGTATTTCCTGCTTCGCATGTGGAGTTCCTAGCTCCTGGCATTTTTTAGCATTGTTTTTTGGTGATCTGGTTTACCAAAGAGGTGTCTGCACCTAGGTAGAAGCCATTCAAGTTCTTTAACTTTTGGACACTCCACCCTAATTTTTTTAAAGTAGTGGAGGAATATTGGATGGAGGCTGCTTGGGGTAATCCTGTGCAAGTTCTTTTTATGAAAATGAAGCGATTATAACAAGTTTTGAAGGCTTTTAATAAGCAACATCATGTTGATATTTCAGCTCAGGTTTGTGATTTGAGAAGGAGACTAGAGCAGCATCAGCTCTTCAATCTTTCTGCTGCTTGGAGTGTTGATAGTGTTAATTGTAAAATTCGGTTGAGAGGGGAACTTGTTGAGCTGGAAAAGGCTGAGGCTTTGATTTATAAGCAAAAGGCTAAAGTTGAGAGGGGGAACTTGTTGAGCTAGAAAAGGCTGAGGCTTTGTTTTATAAGAAAAAGGCTAAAGTTCTTTGGCTGAAGGAAGGTAACTTAGATACAAAATTCTTTCATTCTATTTTGGTTGTTAAGAGGAAAAAGAATACCATTAGGGTTCTTCAAAATGATCGGTGAGAGAGGTTGGATTCTTTTGAGGTGATGCTGGCTGAAGCTGTTTAGTTTTTTAAAAGTTTGATTGACACTGCTGAAGAGAGGGTGAAAGGTGTAATGTTTGCTTGTTGCGTGAGCTTGTGCGGTATGTTGTTCCCGAGGATGTTGCTGAGGGTCTTGTTTGTGAGGTTTCAGTTGTGAGGTTCGAGCAACCATTTTCAATCAGGGTAATGACAAGGCCCTAGGCCCGGATGGGTTCATAGCCTTATTTTTTAAGGTGGCTTGGCCCGTTGTGGGAGCTGATTTTGTCTTGGCTGTCAGGTTTTTCTTTGACACTTCTTTTCTACTTCTTGTTTTCAATTCCACTTCTCTTGTGTTAGTGTGAAGAACTCTAATCCTAGTATGGTGAAGGACTTTAGGCCAATTTTATGTTGCTATGTGGTGTGTATGGCAATTACTAGGATTCTTGTTGATTGGCTAGCTGCGTATTTTCCTCGCATGGTTCCCCTTAATTAGTCTACATTTGTTAAAGGGAGAAGTATTGTGGATAATACACTTTTGGCTTAAGAGATTGTCAAGGTCTATGCTAGGTTATCTTTATCTCCTAGGTGCGCTTTGAAAGTGGATTTGCATAAGGCTTTTGATAGCTTGGACTGGGAGTTTACTTTGACTATGTTGGAGGCTATGAGATTGCCAAAGGTTTAGAGGCTGGATTCGGGTTCGCTTGACTACTGCTCATTTTTCTATTACATTTAATGGGAGTTTTATGGGTTACTTTCGTGGAGCTAGGGGGTTCGGCAGGGTGATCCCCTGTCTCCATATTTGTTTGTCATGGCAATGAATATTTTGTCGAAGATGCTCGATGTTGCTGCTGCTAATGGTATTTTTTAGTTTCACCAAAGTGTAAGAAGGTTAATCTTATGCATCTTTGCTTTGCTGATGATATTCTCATTTTCTCCAAGGGGACCCTTGATTCTGTTATTGGTATCCAATGTGTTTTGGATTGGTTTTACATTATGTATGGGTTGCGGTTAAATGCTGAGAAGAGAATTTTTTTCATCAAGTGCTCCTTCAGTGAACTTTAGACGCTGTAAAGTAAATCTTGGGTTTCAAGGTTGGCTCCCACCTTGTGAGATATTTGGGGTGCCTCTGGTTACCGGAAAATTAACTGAAAAAGATTTTTAATGTCTTTCGGCCCAGGTGAATGAAAAGTTGGGGGCATTGGGCAAATAGAAATTCGAGTTTTCCTGGTAGGCCAAAGTTGATTAGTTCGGTCTTGTTCGGCATCACAAATTATTAGTGCTTGTAATACATTCTCCCAAGTTGTGATGAAACGAAATGATCAGCTCTGCATGAGATTTTTAGAAGGGCTTGGATACACCTGCTGCTGGTGCTAAGGTTGGGTGGAATCTTATTTGTTCCCTTAAATCTGAAGGTGGCCTTGGCTTGAAGGAGTAAGGCCGCTAGAATAGGGCTTGCCATTTTCAGATGATCAAGAAGCTCCTCACAAATGAGGGCTCCCTGCGGGTTACATGGGTGCATGGATATGTTTTGAAGGGTCAAGATTTTTGGAGTATAGAACTTAAGGGTCTATGATGTGGTGTTTGAGGAAGTTACTCTCTTTGCATGATGGGGCTCATCC